ATTTAACTTTTAAACTCCCGACGTTTCGGGTGCTTTACAGCACCCATGGTCGCATAGGGCACTGACCTCTGACATCTACATCTATCCTCGATTACGAATCAAAATGCAGAAGCGTTATCACCCGTCAGGACTAAGATGGAATGCTTCGTATCCAGTAGAAAGGGTCTCCGGTTCTCTACACTCACCATACGAAACACAGCAGTATTGAGCTGCTATTTTACGCTGGTATTCTGTAAGATTTATTTTTATCGCTATATGTAATGTCTCATGGAAATTTGATATGGGAATCGTGACTGACATTTAAACTATATCTGTTGCAAAAGAGGGCCATAAGTAGGCTCACCAATCGTCCCGCGAGGGCTGGGACATCTCGTTTGTAAAGCCTTTGCGGATACGTCCCGCGAAACATGCGTGCGAGACGCCAATAATTGTCCCATTTTATTATATACTAAATTTCGACTTTCGAATTGTACGTACTTTTTAGTTCACCTATTCGAATAAAGATCAAAAATCAAAAGATAATAAACATACTTAAATTTGTATAAATAAATCACAAGAAAATTATTTATCTTAAAAAGAAATAAATATAATCGTCTTAAGTCATACAAAAAAAGAGATTTAATAAGTACTTTGTTTTATTTTTTAATTAAATATTTTACTTTGGCATACAAAATAAATTAACAAAAGGACTCACTACGAGTATATCTTACCACCGATTTCAGAAGCATTTTTGAAATCTACTACCCATATGGGGTAGTGGATATTTTTACTCTGCCACTACATGGTACAGGTAAAACAAAAGAATAGGTATATACATGGTAGAGCCATGCTGCAGCTATATTAGTAGTATAGTTGAAGCACGAACGGGTCGGCTCGACCGGGGAAGGACCACGCTCTCGCAGAATACCAGCTTAACGCTGCTATGTTTCGTATGGTGGGTGTAGAGAACCGGAGACCATTTTTACTGGAAATGAGGCATTCCGGTGATAAACGGGCGCACAGTCCACCTGATGGTAAGTGGTTGCTGCGGCCCATAGACATCTACATCTATCCTTTATTACAAATCAAAGTGCAGATGCGTAGTCACCCGCGGGGACTAAGATGTAATTTAGTAATAACGCATCTACATTTTAGGCGCCAATTACAGTCACTTTAGTTACAGTGTAGTTATACTATAGTTACAGTCACTTTGATTACAAGTGATAGAGCCAGCACGAGACTTAACGACATCTTAAAATTGAGTACCGTTCGTATATTTGGACATTCTATAAAAAATAATCACGTTTCCCATTTAACACAATATATATTATTACATGAACGACATCGTGATTTCAATTCTGCCGTACATATTTAGTTAAGTAAGGGAAGTCATTTCGAGCAATTATTCTATTACAATAACCTTGAATAAAACTAATTTTTACGGATTTTATCGCGTTTAATTAACTTATTTTATATTCCCGACGTTTCGGTTGCTTTCCAGCAACCATGGTCACGGGGGACTGAGGTGACTGACGTCCCGATGTCAGAGTTAACTCGGAGTACCTTCAGCTTTTTAATTATTAATTCTTACACCGCCGGTACACGGTCAAGTTTTATCAATTACTAGAAAGTACCGTTCTCGAATGTTATTTTTATTAATACCCTGTAACGCCTGTAATATACTCTAAAATATATTATACCCTAAAATAGTACTAAATATAACGATATTACAATTTAGCGCTTACGGCTCATGAGTTATTTTAATTTAATGTTGTCTTTAGGTTTATTAACACTTTCCTTATTGCCTTTATTCTGACGAAGGCAATAACTTTTCATGATCAACATCCATATAAATAGCATTATCAACACACACACACCCGCACACACAAACACTCACGCCTGTCACCCAGAGGGGTAGGCACAGACTATGGACTTCCATTTGGCGCGATCCTGACACACCTCTCTCGTCTCCTTTACATCCATATATCTACGCATACACGCTCGTCGGTTAAGGGTACTCCTAATCTGGCCCATTTTCAATGTATCGCCGATTTGGTCGATAAACCTTCGTCTAGGGCGTCCCTTTCTGACACTGCCGTTCACTTCTGAAACATAAATTTGCTTTGTCACTCTTTCCTCGTTCATTCTTTTACCAGTGTACTATATAACACTAACATTGCGTCTTTCTGTCAGAGCGTGGTCCCTCCCCAGTTGAGCCTATTTATTCATGCTGAAGCCAGAATAGAGCTAAAACCTAGCTTTACTACATGAAAGCCGTTCTATTTAAACACGTAATAAATTTAAAGTAATCACTGCATAATTTTTCATCATTATTATCATCATTCTAGGCTATCAATTTCCACTGTTAAATATAGTTTAAAAGTTGAAACACTTCGATGTGGTAAATCAACTATAGCGTATCACTTTGATAAGGCGGAGAACGTGGTATTATATCGAGTTATAGTTTTTCGACATATTGTGATTATTTGTATAAAAGCACGTCTCAGGCGCACTGTCGCCCAGTGCGAAGAACATTAGTAACCTACAGGAAGTCCAGTGTAGTGATCGTTGCCAGCGCTGCGTTCTAAGGTATACAGTACAGGGTTATTTGTCAAAGAGTAGCCAAATTTTATACCTAAGTTCAAACATATAAATAATGATATACCGTTATTGCAGTTTTTGAAAATACGAGTTAATAAAGCTTCTACTTTTATTTGAAATTATCCCAAATTGAAAATGATTTATGGGCAACAACGTTTTTGACTACCGATCGACCCTTACGAATGTGTGCGTGCGCAGTAAAATCAGTTAAAATAATGCATTACCACGCATTTTGAATTTAAAAGATAAAAGGACAGAATATTTCAGATTTATTAAATTAATTTTTCTTCACATTTGCCTATATTACTTATTCTGAACCTTCTCTGCAAATTTGGCCGGTTATTGCAAAATAACTCTGTAAATTATTAATTTTAATGTATTAAAATAAGAAGTATTTAAAATAGGTTTTAATTAGTATTGGATCTGCAAAAAGGGACAGTCTGGCCAGGACAATAGTTGTGTTACGGTTGAAATATCACTAAAGGTTCTTTTAAGTTATTACGAATCAGTCATGCAGATACAATTGGTAGTGCGAATGTGTAGTACTTGTCGGAATCGTTTGCCCATGGGAATCTGTTGATTTAACACGTACTTGGCGGTGAAGGAAATATCGTGAGGAAACTTACATGTCTGAGCGATAAAAAAATATTTCGAAGATCCTTTTTGAAGTCCGCCGGTATTTTACAGCGCGGCGGACATTTTCCTTGCCCTAAAAACCTGCAAGCTATATGTGGTTTTATTACCTCTAACTCTAACCGAAACCTGCATCGCAAAAAGGTCTTTAACAATAATCTTACTCCCCGGCCAATGCAGAGGTAATAAATCCACATACAATTCGCTAATAAACATTTATTTAAATGAAATAAAAATCTATTTGTTTGAATATTGATTCTGTTAACGCGCTTAACGGTAAAATCTAGTTTTTTTTTATAGAATAATATAAAAACGAGCACATAGGGCCACCTGATGGAAAGTGGATGCTGTGCCTGTGTAGATGATCTATCCTCATTAAAGAACCAAAATGCAGAAGCGTTGTCACCGCTGATGACTAAGATGGAATGCCTCGTTTCCAGTAAAAGGGGTCCCCGGTTCTCTACACTCACCGTACGAAATACAGCAGCATTAAGCTGCTATTTAACGCTGGTATTCTGTGAGAGCGAGGTCCAACATCCAGAAAATAGCCGCAGCACATGACTCTACCACGATAAAACATTTTGTGATATTTTGTATATACGGGGTATAACAATGTCTTTTTTGTTATAGTACCGATAATACTAGGAAAATTGCTTTTGGTCAACGTATCAAGAGAAAAAAAAATAACAGAAATAGTTTCGATGAAAACATAATCATACATATACATACATATAATCACGCCTTTTTCCCGTGGGGGTAGGCAGAGACCAGTTCTTTCCACTTGCTACGATCCTTGCATACTTGTTTTGCTTCGTCCACTTTCATTATTCCCTTCATACATGCTCTACGGTTTAGGGTACTCTTGACCTGGCCTTTTTTCAAGACGTCCCTGATTTGGTCTAGAAATGTCCGCCTAGGTCTACCCCTTCCAACACTTTCATTCACACTCGCCTTATACACTTTTTTCGTCAATCGTTCTTCATTCATTCTCTCGACATGGCCAAACCATCTCAGTCATCACTATAAAACATAATCATGTATTAATAATACAATGGAGCGTCGAATGAAGTTAGTTGGGAGACGGTATCATATATTTTTTTAGATTTGAATACGTAACAATGCACATATTCACACAGATTTTAATACTAAACAGTAGAACCTTTAAAAATGGATAGAAAAACTTGGACGTCACTAGCAAAATATTATAGTAAAACGAGTGTGTTTACGCATGGCGCTATAATCTAAACCCAGTGCAATTCCTGCGTGTTATTCAACATATTATGAAGAAAATTAATTAAGAAGCCTCAAACTCCTCAGTTTACCAAAGTATGCACACTTGTAAACACTTATATAATACACATGTCGCAGCCTTAATGGACGTAGACTTAATGGAAAATTACAAATAATATTAATTTTCTGATGAAAAAAAGCTAGTAATTGGGGAATAATAAATGTGTTCTTGCTATCCTGTATTTTTTTTTTAAAAATCGAGGTACGCCCCTTTGCGGCGTCGACGACGAATTGAATGACCAGCCGTAAGTCGGCATTCAAATTGATGAGTAAAGGCAGCTTAACGTAACATTTAATAAAATAATAGGCCCAATAGTTATTACAAAGTTTATAATGTTCAACACGCCTTCACGATATGGGAGAATATGTTAGTGATCCGTTTTTTATAAATATAATTAAACGTATATAAAAAGCTTGGTATTTCTATTAACAATGATTAGTTCCAATATAAATATTTATTACTTACAGGTGTACATACAGCTGGCAGTTGAAAAAGAATGTCGGCGGACAAAGTATTCCATTCGAGGTCTGAGGGTATCCCCTCAGAGGGAGTGAAGGACCAGTACGCTGACGGTAAAGCCGCGAGGGTCTGGAAGAAGTACATTGGGGACAGTAACCAGCGCACGCAGAACTACAAGGACTTCCTTACGGGCCTACTCCGGAAACACAACTGCGTGAAAGTGCTCGATGTTGCCTGCGGCACTGGGTGAGGAGATTTATTATTTATGTATTTAAGCCTAATTTAAAGAACAGTAACCTGAGGTGATATAGCTCTTAGATCCTAGCAATGATTATCACATAATTTAACTTTTTTCCTCCTGTAATATTGGAGGTTGGAGTACCCTGGCAGAGTCACCGTGTAATGTTGGAGGTGTTAATGAAGAAGATAGACGTGTTATACTTGTTATGACTTTAATTAGACAACTCTTTATTATAAGCTTAAGTCTAATATACAAGGTTATTTTTAAAAATTCAAATTTTAAACTTAAGTTCAAATACATAAACAAATAATGATATACGGTTAAAGCAGTTTTTGAAAATACGAGTAAATAAAACTTCTGTTTTCTTTTGAAATTGTCTCAAATTGAATGTGATTTATGGGCAACAACGTTTTTGCCTACCGATCGACCTTTACGAATGTGTGCGTGCGCTGTAAAATCAGTTAAAATAAATCATTACCACGCATTTTGAATTAAAAAGAGAAAAAGATAGAATGTTTGCGATTTTTTTAAATTGATTTTCTTTCACCATTTGCCTATATTACTTATCTGAACCTTCTCTGCAAATTTGGACGGTTATTGCAAAATAATTCTGTATACCAATAATAATATATAATAATGGTAAATAATTGAAAAATATATAAGTAAACAAGTAAATAATTTCTATAGTCAACACTCAATTTTAAACAAAAGTCAGTATGGTTTTCAGCAGCATAAAAGTACCACTCAACTGTTATCTACTTTCACTGACGACGTAAACTATTATCTTGATAATAAAAAACATGTTCTAGTTGTTTTTATTGACTATAGTAAAGCGTTCGATACTCTAAGGCATGATTTACTGACTGAAAGACTTGATGAATGTGGACTTCGAGGACCCCTTCTGAATTGGTGCAAAGATTATGTTAAAGAGAGAGCATATAGAGTTAAAGTGGGAAATGCTACAAGTATAAAGCAAACCGTCACCCAAGGTACCGCCCAGGGCTCTGTGCTTGGGCCTTTGCATTACTTGACTTATGTAAATAATGTTGTCAATGTCATTAAAAACTGCAAGATCTATCAGTTTGCAGACGATACCTGCTTATTAGCGGCGGAGAACGACATAAATGTGGCATTACAGAAATTGCAAGAGGATTTCACCAACCTTATGAAATGGTCTCACGATGCAGGACTAATTCTGAACGCCACCAAAACAAAATTGATGTACATTTCGTCCAGTCGAAATAGAGTATCCGTTCCATTAAAACTCATTGCCCACAGCCACCAATGTCTTCATAATAACATGTCTAACCAGACTTGTAATTGTAATCATATCGATATAGTAGAACAACAACCTTACCTTGGACTCATAATAAACAGTGGATTTAAATGGACGCACCATATTAATAAAGTGTGTGATAAGTTAAGGGCCATACTTGCCAAATTTTCTATAATTAAATATAAAGTTCCCTATCCTATACTGTTATCCCTTTACAAGGCTCTGGCCGAATCGATAATACATTACGGTTTAAGTAGCTATGGTAGAACCTGTAAATCGCATCTATATAATATCCATGAATTACAGCTTAGAATCATCAAAACAATTGTCCCACCTAAAATCAAACAACAATATAAGGATAACTACAACAAATTATTTAAATTTTGCGGTATTCTGCCTATTGAAGAAAAACTAAAACTTACCTTACTTGTTGAACAGTTCTTTAATACAAAATTGCAAGTCCTACCAATGTATGAACACCAGCTTAGAAGTATATATAACCCTAAATTAATTATAGCTAAAACACATAATATATATGGAGATCATCAAAATAAGATCATTATTCCTAAATTAATTAATAAATTACCTAAAACCTTAAAGGAAGATATCAATCCTAAAAATATTAAAAACAAATTAAAAACGTACTTTATGAATCAACTAATATAATAACTAACATAATATAACTAAAACTAATACTATATACTATTTGTATACTATATACTATTATATATGTATACTAATTTGTAATATAATTACTATATTTATATTTCAAAAATATAAAAATATTTTTTCCTCTGAACAACCTGTATACTACAACTCATCCTCACGTTATTGTTATAGAAGCGAGCGAACTACCTTCTTACTCTAAATAATATTAAAATGTTTACGCTCAAAAGACGGCGAACTGCAGTGTGCAGAAAAATCTTATATAGGTTTATGTTGCACTGTACTTATGAACTGTGTATATTATGTATTTTTGTTGTTGTAAAATAATAATAAAATAATAATAATACTATCGTGGGGGTTACACGTCACTAAGCTCCCTTCCTCCCTACAAGAATCTCGACGGGTGTCAATTTTTTTCACCTTTACAGCGAGTTTTCCGGACCGATACGATTTTCCATCCTTAATAATATATATTGGATTTAGTTGTACAAAATTTTTGTTTTAAATTATGTTAAGCTAAGTCAGTTTAGTCAGTGCTCTTTATCATCTTCAGCTAATAAATATGTGAAGTTTTATTAGCTAAGACTTGCCTGCTAAAATAAAATGGAGTGTATTATATAGTTTAATAAGTACCTCTCCCTCCCACAATTCTATCAATGCCACCAATGAGCCCAACGCCACATTTCGTCTAACGCTTAAATCATATCGTGCTGCCTTGTTAGTCTTGTGGTCGTAAGTGATACGGCTGATCTGGTGGTAAATCTTCGGTTTCATTCTTATTGTATAATTGATCGCTATGTAAAGGATAAGGAATTCAAGGTATGGTAATGTTTGCAATAGTTTATGTCTGTCTTCGAGACTGTCATTGAGACAAATTAATACCATAAATGATTATTATATATTGTTGAAATCGTGAAAATCACTGAATGGATAAATCAATCAATACGATCGACTAGATAGAAGAAATATTCGTATTTGAATTGAATCGACGATAAACAATCTGCGTGTTATTACGTAAAACTGTCGTCAAATCTTGTACACAAATAACATGAAATGTAGGAAAATAATACGTACTTATAACACTTTTTTTAAATCAAGTTTAAATAAAAATGATAAAAAAGGGAATGAGACAGAAGATATCGCAAATTACTGGGAACAGGTCAGACGACGTAAAAACCTGTCCCATTGATTCTGGACTCAAATAATTTTTGTTAAACAACCTGTTGCAATGTTTTTTTACTTTAAAACTTCTGGATCCATCTTGAATAACTAAACATTGTAAAATAAAACTTGTGGATAATTTAAACAAAGAGATCAGCCTGGCAAAAAAAAAAACGAAACGTCAATGAAAACCCGCTTGCCAAGCGTGGCAACTATGGCAAATATCCTATCCCTATGAGGCAATCCATGGGGGAAACCTACGTTCAGCAGTGGACTTTAATAGGTTGTAACTAAACTTTTACCCCTAATAATCTCCTCATGACATACCCGGGCCTGCAGCTGTACATATAAATTTTTAATTTTATTGCCTATTTATTTACGCAGAAAAAGCTTACAGTTAAAGTGTAGTAGTATTTTTAGAATAGAATAGTTTGTACGTGGTAGAGCCAAGATGCAGCTATATTTAAAATATAGTTGTGGCACGAATGGATCGGCTCGACCGGGGAAGGACCACGCTCTCACAGAATGCCAGCGTAAAATAGCAACTTAATACTGCTGTTTCGTATGGTGAGTGTAGAGAACCTGAGACCCCTTTTACTGGAAAAGAGGCATTCCATCTGCATTTTGATTCGCAAACGAGGATAGATGCGGATGTCTACGGGCCACAGCAACCACTTACCATCAGGTGGCCTGTGTGCTCGTTTGTCAGTTTAGTTCTATAAAAAAAAAGAATAAAATAAATTTTATTCAATATAGATTACAACAATACTTATTGAAAGTAATTAAAGCTTTAACACTGGTTCGGAAAAAACCTCTGTCCTGGGAAGAACCAGCAAGAAACTCAGCGGGTGTTTTTCTTTTTAATAAATTAATTTACAATATAGTATTTTATACAATTAGTATGAAAATATTTAGAAACAGCTATCGCTAATCGCTACCAGATTACCTCGTTCTCAGAGGTTATTATTAATCATGTACTCTTTAGCCGTATAATAACCTTTACTAAACTATTTTTTTTTAGTAAAATTTTAAACTTTTTGATAGATAAGTTCTGCATATTTTCTGGGGCTTAGTTGTAAAAGCTTATACATTGCCTCATGAAGGAATTACTGACTCTTTGGAGTAGAGTAACTGGTATAACTGACTTGTGCTTGTTCCTAGTATTTACAGTATGTACATCACTATTTTTAATAAAACTATTTCTGTGTTTGTATACATACATTCACATTGAGAGGCCTAAGTATATATATTTATTTCTATATAATTTTATTAATTAAGCGATTCCACGCAGATGGAAGAATCTAGCCATCTTATTTTTTTTATTTAGAATGCTTTTTATTCTTTTATCATCATCATCATCATTACAGCCCTTCACTAGTCCACTGCTGAACATAAGCCTTCCCCAAGGAATACCACAAAGCACGGTCCTGAGTCACCTGCATCCATCGACTTCCTGCATATCTTACCAGGTCGTCACTCCATCTAGTGAGGGGTCGCCCTCCACTTCGCCTACCGGTACGAGGATGCCACTTGAGAACATTCTTTCCCCATCGGTTGTCGGTTCTTCGAACTATATAGCCGGCACATTGCCACTTCAGCTTGCTAATCCGTTGGGCTATGTCGGTCACTCTGGTTCTACTGGGGATACCCTCATTTCTAAGTCTTTCACGCAGAGAAACCCCGAGCATAGCACTCTCCATAGCTCGCTGAGTGACCTTGAGCTTCGTCATACGGCCAGCAGTGTACAACCAGTGCGTCTTGTCGGTCATCACTGACAAGACGCACTGGTTGTACAGTCGCGTTGGACTTACCTAGTCGAACTATTTGTCCCAGGTAAACATACTCGTCAACAACTTCGAGCTTAGTGCTCCCAACAACTACCAGCATAAGTGTGACATGGACGTTATACTTTTATAATTGGTCATAATCAGTAGTAGCGATAAAGTTCGTAAAATTAGTTTTCTTCACTGTTTAGTTTATTATTTCTAGTTTTAAAGTTCATTTTCACGACTTTTTCTACACTCAGGGAGGCGCCACTTTGTAGTGAGGTGAAATATTTGACAGATTTCATAGCGGTGAAGTTAATTTGTTACAAAAATGTAAGGGTTATAATTCCTTTCCTTGTAATATTAGCTTAATTTGTAATATTCCTTTCCTTGTAATATTAGCTATATTTTATATTAATTAGCTTAGGAATTAATACAACAAACTAATCGGTAATTCCTAAAAATAAAAAAAATAAATAAGAGATAAAAAGTGGAAAATTTTTTAGATCAAACCACTGAGGCAGTTTTGCGTATTAATACAATGCTCTAGGAACTAATAAACTTTTCTTTAAAATCAACTTCACAATTAAATGACATTATGTAACAAAAACTACATCTCAATCCGAACTAGCGACATCTGGTGAGCGGAATATTAGCCGTCATTACACACAGAAATAACATCTTACTATTTGAACCGTATTATTTATGCTGTCATAACCGAAATATAGTAGGCTAACTTGAGTTGTAAAGTTCAAGATCAACGTTTCGTGAACAATTCTTTATACTATTTCATACAGTTATCTTGTATGTTATATTTCCCATGTCATAACATTTTATAATGATTAAAGTTCTCTTAATTTCTTATCTTTGAACTGTAATATTTACGTAAGTCAGTGTAATCATTGTACGACATCAAAAACATGTGATACAGATGACCTCACACAAGCACGCAACTAACTTCAGTGTTATCTCACGAGTCAACCTGCCTTTATCTGTTTGTTGTTAACATGTCACTCTACAATCTATTACATTATTATAGGAGATTCTTTAGTTATAATGCTGTCATAATAAGAAAAAAACATATCTACATTTTAAAAATCCATTTCTATACCTACATATTCGGAGTTGTCAAGAGCAGATAAGATCATAGATCCGTGGGCCTCCCACGGGTCTGTATTTCCCCCAGAACTGTGGTGGGTTGGCCATAGACCTGATATCATAATATATGTAATATGCGGCTATGCAATGAACTCGTGTAGTCCTGCTGACCATTGAACGAATCCGGAATAATCGTATTACATACTGAGATACGTTCAAAAAAGGAGTACAAAAAAATTACGTCTAGCTGTTTGGCATTTTGAATGAAAAGTTAAAGGAAGTTTAAAAGCAAGTTGAACAATTTAGGCTTATTAGTAATAAGTCGGCGAACGTAATTAGTAACAAATAATAACATTATTTTTCCTTCGGATTATATTTTATCTCTAAGCTCCTCTGGAATCGAGGTACGAGATCAAACCCCCAGATAAAAATTCCTCTTCTGCATGAATTACAAAATTACACGCGGGCAAAGTCGCGGGGAACAGCTAGTTTGTTAGAAAACACAACGTGTTGGCTTTTGGATTTGGATGTATATCGTTTTCTGCTGTTTCCGTGTCTGTAACCAATATGAGTCTTATTCGAAAATCATCAGTTAAACGATGGAGCCATTATTCTTTTAAAATAAGAAGAAGACGAAGAGTTCTAATTCGGATTTTACCGCAACGGCGGTATATCGAATAAAAGTCAATACACCATCATCAGTCCGTAACAGTCCACTGCTGGACATGTGCTTAACGTCACGATTACAGCACCATAAGTCTCGCACTTTAGACGCCGATATCTATCGCCGAAATCTACCGACAGCCGTGACTTGTCTAACATTTCTCATTGTCGCTTCATATGTGACCGTGTGGCGGCGGTGTAAGAATATCCACTACCCCATACCGTCCTGCGGGTATCGTGAGTGGTGACAGGGGGAAACGATCCAGGAGATAGGCAGCAGCGCCTTTCTAATTACAACTAAAAAATTAAAAAAACCGCGGTTGACAACCCTACTGCCCAGCGTGGCAGCTATAGAGGCCTATGTTCAGCAGCAGAGTCAATAGGCTGTAACGGCTTCTTATAAGTGCCTACAATGTAAGTTTGACTTTTTGTTTTTTCAAAATTATTTCGTTCACAATATTATCAATGAATGAAGTAAAACTAAAGATGGCGCATTTTCAGCATAGACTCCATGATGTTGGTGGACGAGGGCTTCAAGGTGGTCTCGGTGGACGCGTCCGATAAAATGCTGAAACACGCTCTAAAGGCAAGATGGGAGAAGAGGAAGGATCCAAGATACGACGAGTGGGGTGGGTAGTTTTATCATTATATAAGGTTTCAAAGAGTAGCCAAATTTTAAACTTAAGTTCAAATATATAAATAATGATATACGGTTAATGCAGTTTTTGAAAATACGAGTAAATAAGGCTTATATTTTCATTTGAAATTGTCCCAAATTGAATGTGGTTTATGGGCAACATTGTTTTTGTCTACCGATTGACACTTACGAATGTGTGCGTGCGGAGTAAAATCAGTCAATTTAAAACATAAAAAGACAGATTGTTTGCGAATTTTTTTATTAATTATTTATCACCATTTGCTTATATTACTAAACTTATTCTGAACCGTCTCTGCAAATTTGGCCGATTATTGCAAAGTAACCTTGTAGATGTTTTGATCATCTATTGGACTATTATGAGCTCCCAGTCGCAAAGAAGACTGGCCATTTGGGCAGGACGGCATGATAGTGCACGAGTGTGTGCACAACCACAGGTGCACTTTCTATACCCCCACTCTTGTAGTCCGATTGGACGGCAATCCGACACGACCGGTAGGTGTATTACGTATCTTTCAGAAGGCTAGCGATAGCGAAATTAGAACAATAATTGCTGATAAATCGCAGATTCGTATTACGTACCAGCGATAACCAAGCCCTAGCTAACTAGCGACCACAAGGCAGCGCTGTCTCTAGTTAGCTTGGTTATTATACGCCTGCCTACCGATCGGGTACAGAACCAACGGCTTTACGTACTTTCCGAGGCATGAGGGAAACACCACCAACTTACTGACTGCGGTCTGCTACTAAAAACTTTTGATGGCAAAATCCCCCCTATAACTATGTGAGCTATGTTCAGAAGTGGACTTTCATATGCTGTAATGGATGGATGGATGGATCTATTGTTATACCTCTTAGCAATATCTGCAAGGGTAGGGTATGTTAATGTAACACCATAAAATAATATTTATGAGCCGAGCTAGTATAGTGCATAAGATTGCGCTGTGAAATACCAAGTACGCGAGCAACCCTAATTCGAATCCCCGCCGGCAATAATTAATATTTTAATTGTAATTTTAAATGCCGACTTACTACGTGCTCGGCGGTGAAGGAAAACATCGTGTAGAAACCGAAAAGTCAATCATCACGCATTGAAGTAGTCCGATGAATAAATTGCTCTGTAACCCTCTCAGAAATGAGAGGGAGGCATATTCCTAGTGGTGGGACGTATGTATATAAGCTGTGACTATTATTATTATATTTCAGTAATCGAAGAGGCCAGCTGGGAGACGCTACCACGTGATGTTCAGTCCTTCATGCCCGGGGCAACGTTCGACGCAGTTATATGCCTAGGCAACTCCTTCGCCCATCTTCTAGACGAGTATGAAGACCAGAGGACGCAGAAGATGTGTTTGGAGAACTTTGCAAAGGTCCTCAAGCCCGGTGGCCTGCTGTTTATTGACCACAGGAACTATGACGCCATGATAGACAGCGGAGCAACGCCTGGACATTCCATTTATTATAACGTAAGTAATTTGAATATAAAACTTTTGACGATGTCCGGCCAATGGCTAAAGTGCCTAGCTGTTATGCTAATGAGTTTTTTTAAATAGAATAGGGTGACAAACGAGCACACAGTCCACCTGATTGTAAGTGGATCATTGGGCCACACCAAAGATATCTATACAACATAACATAATATAACATGCCTGTCACCCAGAGGGGTAGGCAGAGATTATGGACTTCCATTTGGCACGATCCTGACACACCTCTCTCGCTTCCTCCACATCCATATACCTACGCATACACGCTCGTCGGTTAAAGGTACTCTTGATTTGGCCCATTTTTAATATATCGCCAATTTGGTCGATAAACTTTCGCTTAGGGCGACCCTTCCCGACTATGCCGTTCACCTCTATATCTATCTTTAATTAAGAACTAAAATGTAGATACGTATACGTATCCGTATATGACTAAGATGGAATGACTGATTTCCAGTAATAAGGGTCTCCGGTTCTCGGACACTCACTATATGAAACACGGCAACATTCAGTTGCTTTTTTACGCTGGTATTTTGTGGGAGAGTGGTTTTCGGTTTGGCCGACCCATTCGTGCTACAACCATAATATAACTGCAGCGTGACTATTTTTTATCTTGTGTATAAAGTTTAATGTCTTTGGTGCTATAGAAACCGTGGCTGGCTCTTGTAGAGTCAAACCTTAAAAAACATTGCTTGGAATGTAGCTGTGTGAAAATAAAACATTAGAACAGTATAAAACGTAATGCTTTAGAGTATTATTATTTATATTGAATGATTGCAATCTTCGCTCTCATAACAATTTCGAACTGCAAATTCCCTCTTACCGTACTGGTTTCCTTTCGAACTCTTTCGCTGTTACAGCTGTACGGCTCTGAAATGCGATTCCCTTAGCAATAACACCACAACACAACACAACAAGTGGATTTTTAAAACAAAAGTAAAGGAACATTACTTGGGCTCATCTGACACATAAATGTCCATAACATATAATCTGTTATAGTGTATGTGTATGTGTGTACGTGTGTGAGTGTATGTGTATGTGTGAAATTTATCAATTTTAGATTTTCATCCTAGCCCACTGCAGTACACACATCTCCCATTAACTTTCCGGTTGGCTGGTAGAAAATGCCTTATGGCATTAAGTCCGCCGTTTGTTCCTTTAGTACAATAAAGTGTATAAATAAATAAATAAATATTGAGGATTTTTTTCCGTTTACTGTTATCGCTATAGTAGTTGGTTTTTTTATAGGATAAGGGTGACAAACGAGCACACAGTCCACCTGATGGTAAGTGGTTACTGTTGCCCATAGACATCTACATCTATCTTCGATCACGAATCAAAATGCAGATGCGTTGTCCCCCGTGAGGACTAAGATGGAATGCCTCGTTTCCAGTAAAAAGGGTCTCCGGTTCTCTACACTCACCATACGAAACACAGCTGCGTTAAGCTGCTATTTTACGTTGGTATTCTGTGTTCAAGATGCTTTCCATTAATGGTATCCACTTCTGATGTTAGAAATTATTCTCAAAATTATATAAATATACCAAGATGGAATGCCTCGTTAAATTAAAGTTGTTAGAAATTTATTTGCTTATTTTTGCGTAATGAAATAAAATGATGTGTCATGCCCAGTTTGAAGAGCACCTCTATTATTGCACCATACCCTCTATTAATTCCGTGCACTATCCCCGTCACCACTAATCCCAGCAACACCACACCAGGAAATACACACCAACCTCGATAATACGACCACGTGTCGCTTGTGTCGCTTCTACACGAAGCATCCTCAGGTGAAGTAGACTTTACCGAGGGCGGGAGGTACTCTTTAACTTTCAACTAAGCAGGACACATCATTTTATTTCATTACACACAAATAAGCAAATTAAGCTCTATGATCTTAATATAAAGGATTTCCGCAAAGTAACTCCTGATTCTATTAATAGATTACTTCGTGATTACGATAAGACTAGTTCTGTGCTAGGTGCTAGCCGGTTCATGATGCAGTGACAGTCGTTATCTATATTTTGTATGTCCATACATATAAGCATTCCATATTTTGTATATGTTTATAAAATATGGAATGCTTATAGCAATCTATCGAATGGATCTCTTTTTTATTAATATTTTTTAATACAAAATTTACTGCTTGTACATTTGCCAATAAATACAAACATTTTTTTTTTGATATATTGTGTTAAATGTACAGATTAACTTTTGTTGGATTTTTTTTTGTCTTAATAAATGTTAATATAATTTACTGTATGCCTATTTTTATCTGTCTGTATGTTGTGTGTATTGTATGTTGTATTGTGTTAATTAATAGAATCATGCGTTACTTTGCAGAAATCTATAATATTACACATGTTAAAAGTTAAGTAGCTAAGATTAGCGTAATAAAATAAACTACTGCGTTTATTTTATTACGTACCACTACTGCGTGCCGCACGCACAGTGCGTGCGTGCGGCACGCAGTAGTGGTGCGCGAGTGGGTGCGTACGTGCGCGCGTGCGTGTGTGTGCGTGTGCGTGTTTTTAGATAATAATACCGTGCATAAAATGTCTCTTTTATTTATCTTTTTTCAGTGTAAATATCCAGTAGATATAAAAACGTCAGTGCTTGTAGTAGGCGGAAAGCCTGAGCTGGTCGCTCTGGACTACTGCATCGGCGCTACAGCCGACGGAGAAATTAGTGAGAGGAGGTGAGATACAGTTTTATATACATATGAACCAAGTGATTAACCAGGGCACTATTTCTAATGCCCGGGGAATAGCCCGATTTGACTTGCCCAATAGTCATATTGGGCAAGTGAAATCGGGCTACGTAAGTACTTTCGATTTAAGCTTCATTATTTATCACATTGTCTGGTCATTCATAACCTAACCTAACCTAAATCTATCTTTTTATTACTCTGCCAGTAAGTAACGGACTTTATTCACGGAATTCCACAAAGCACGGTCCCGAGCCACCTGTATCCATTGACTTTCTATATGTCTTACCAGCTTGTCACTCCATCTAGTGGGGGGACGCCCTACACTTCGCCCACCGGTACGAAGTTGCCACTCGAGAACCTTTCTTCCCCATCGGTTGTTGGTTCCTCGAGCTATATGGCAAGCCCATTGCCACTTCAGCTTACTAATCAGTTACTCTGGTTCTACTGCGGATATCTTCTTTTTTAAGTTTATCACGCAGAGAAACGCAGAGTATAGCCCTCTCTATACGAGTAGCTTGCTGAGCGACCTTGAGCTTCCTCATACGGCCAGCAGTGAAGGACCACGTCTCAGATCCATAGGTCATCACTGACTCGTTGTCACACGCACTCGTTGAACAATCTTGTTTTGAGATTTTGAGGTATACCTGATAAGAAGATGTGTCGTAATCTCCCGAACGCTGCCTAGCCGAGTTAAATCCGTCGATTGACTTTTCGGTCGAAGTTGGACTTACCTAGTCGGACTATTTATCCCAGGTAAACATACTCGTCAACAACTTGGAGCTTAGTGCTCCCAACAACTACCGGCATAGGTGTGACATGGACGACACATGACTTTTGTCTTGTACATGTTCATCTTAATACTTATCCGTTGGGAGACACTATTGAGGTTATTGAGCATAGTGCTTAGGTCCTCCAGCGTTTCTGCCATAAGGACTATATCGTCGGCAAATCGAAGTTGAGTTTGACTCACCATTAACGTTAATACCGTATCATTTCCAGTCCAGTAGCTTGAAAACGTCTTCTAATCCAGCGGTGAAGAGTTTCGGGGATATTACGTCACCCTATCTTACACCTCTCTGCAGTTGAATAAGTTTCGTACTCTGGTTCTGTACTCGGATAGCCATCGTAGCCCTACTGTAAAAATACTTCAGCTCTTTGATATAATGACAATAAACTTGCCACCGCTGAAAGAAATCGCGACAGAATCGCCCAAATTGCGACGGAATCGAAGGTTCTCTTATAGTCCACATACGCAAGACAAAGTGGCAGATTGTACTCTTCGGTCTTCTTTACAATTTTCCGAAGTGTATGTGTATGGCTTTTTCGGGAGACTGGAATTCGTCGTGCGTAGTCGTCGTCGAAGACGATTCGTAATGACTCGAAAACAGCATGTAGACGCGGCTCAGAAGGGAAATTGGTCTGTAGTTCTTCAAGAGAGCATTGTCGCCTTTCTTGAAGAACAGGACCACTGCACGTCTGCTCCACGCCTCCGGAGTAGTGCCACCATGGAGGAAGGAATTAAAGAGCTTCTGAAGGACTTTAAGTATCGGTTGTCCACCCGCTTTCAGAAGCTCCGCTGTAAATCCCTCCTTGCCGTTTTTAAGGTGCTGGAGAGCCATTCTAATCTCGCTCAGACTGACGTCCGGGATATCATCAGAATAGTGTCGGATAAGACTTGCTATTGGATCCTTATTCACACTTGTGTGTGGCCCCAATAATGACGGGTATAGCTGCTCATAGAGCCTCTCAATCTCACTCAAAATCTCCGGAAATGATGCTGCTACATTCGGTCTTCAGCTTCGACAGTTGGCTATTTCTGGCAGACAGATCTCTGGAAAAGACTTTGGAGCTCTATTTCCGCTAAATCGCTTCTGTACGAGCTGTACTGAAGTTGCGAGACTTACGTATCTATCTGTTGAGTTGCCTGTATGCTGTCAAACCTGCTGAGAACTCAGCTTCATTTACCGTCTAACAGCTATGAGATTGAAAGTGTAATCGGAGAGTTTTTGTGTCCTTCTGCGGCGGGTGTTGCAAAACTTAGCTCCGACCGGATGGGTAGTTTCCACGAGCTTATCCTTCATATTGTCCCCTGCATTGCAATCTTCTAGGCACTGAAAACGATTTTATAACGCGAGCTGAAAGTTTTCAGGGCTTTGGATTAGATTACGAGGGGACGGAGTGTTCACTTCATTAGACGGACCTCTCCAACTTAACGTTTAGCTTCAGTGTACCTCTCACCGTTCGGTGTTCACTGCCAGTTTTACCTTTTGGTGTTCACTGGCAGTTACCCTTGCGATCACTGAGACATCACTGAACAGTTATTCATCATGGGGGTATATTGCCATAGTTGCCACGCTTGGCGAGCGGATTGGCAAGCGCAGTTTTTTATTGTAATTTGGTGTCATCAGATAGAAGCTGCCTATATATATATTGTGCCTAAGTTTACCTCTGTCGCCTCTTACGACACCCACGGGCAGATATGGGGTAGTGGGTATTTTTACTCTCCACTATACGGGGTAATAAAAGTACTTATTTAAAAGTTTTCTAAACATGTAAGTTAGAAATGAAATTCGCTAGAAAATAGTTAATTTGCTCGTGAGTTAGTTGAGACAGCTTCCTTACAACAGAACAGAGTATAAATAAAGTTGACGGCACTGTAGTGCAGTGGCTTAGCAATGAGTTACGGTGCTAAGTACCGCGAGTTCGAATTCTACACGGAATAAGTTTTTGTATGGCCTATGTAAACTGACTCCATGATACAGGAGAAAATCCTAGTGTGGGTCCTAAATTATTTTTTTTACAAAAAACGTTACCCCCACACTAGGATTTTTTCCTGTGTCGTGGAGGCAGTTTACAAACATAAATTGCACAAGGACAAATATCCAGACCCGGAACAATTATATGTAGGCCACAAATACTTGTTCCGTGCGGGATTCGAACCCGCGGCCCCCAGCGCAATAATTGATTGCTAAGCCATTGCGCCACGGAGCCGTCGAAATAAATAAATCGATTTTAATAAATATGTATAATATATAATAATGAATCCTTAAAAAACATTTAGGTATATCTGGGAAATTGTGTTTTTAATTTACAGTGAATTCCGTCTCTGCTACTACCCGCACAAACTGGACAAGTTCACCGTCATGCTTGACGAAGCTTTCGGCAACAAAGCCCAGCACAGCATATACGCAGACTTCAAGCCTCTCGATCAAGTTGAAAATCCGGCTTACTACATTCATGTTATGCAGAAACCACTCTAATAATGCATCTATGCTGTTACTATAATAGATTTAATTATAAAATTTTCCAAACGTTGCTTTGAAAGTTAATTTAATATTGTTAACTAATTTTATTCCTATGTTAAATTGTATTTTTTTTACATTTAAGTTTCGTTAAAGAATTTGAATTAGCGCGTATTATTAAAAAAATACATTAAAATGACATTGATATTTTGCAACTATAAATTTTTTTCTGTCGAGGAGTCTATCTTGGTCCACCATTTTACCTATTTCTGCCAACAAGCAGCAGTGCCTGCGCTTTTGTATTTCGGTCTAGGGCAGGGGTCGGCAACCTTTTGAGTCGGAAGAGTCAAAAATTACAATTTACAAAATTTAAAAATTTTTAAAGAGGCACAATTTTTTTTCTTGCCAACTATAAATAGTACTTGCATAAATAAAGTTTTTTGATAAAAAAAACTTATCTATTAATTCATAAGAAAAAATATATTTATTCATATATAAATAGTGCTTTTCGCAATAAATTAGAATCTAATTTCTATTACTATCTAATTATTAGATAATATATATAGCCCTCTCTATAGCTTCCTGAGCGACCTTGAGCTTCCTCATACGGCTAGCAGTGAAGGACCACGTCTCAGATCCATAAGTCATCACTGGCAACACGCACTGGTTGTACAATTTTGTTTTCAGGTTTTGAGGTATACCTGACGAGAAGATGTGTCGCAGTTTCCCAAACGCTGCCCAGTCGAGTTGAATCCGTCGATTGACTTTTCGGTCGAAGTTGGACTTACCTAGTCGAACTATTTGTACCAGGTAAACATACTCGTCAACAACTTCCGAGCTTAGTGCTCCCAACAACTACCGGCATAGGTGTGACATGGACATTAAACATGATCTTTGTTTTGGCCATGTTCATCTTAAGACCTATCTATTGGGAGACACTATTGAGGTTATGGGGCATAGGAATATTGGATCCTCCAGCGATTCTGCCTTAAGGACTATATCGTCGGCAAATCGAAGGTGAGTGATATACTCGCCATTGATTGTTAATACCGCATCCTTTCCAGTCCAGTAGCTTGAAAACGTCTTCCAATGCAGCGGTGAAGAGTTTCGGGGATATAACGTCACCCTGTCTTACACCTATCTGCAGTTGGATAGGTTTCGTACTAGGATAGCCATCGTAGCCCTACTGTACAAACACTTCAGCACTTCGATATACAGACAGTCAACTTGGCACGGCTGAAGGGACTGCAGCACCGCCCAAATTTCAACGAAATCAAAGGCTTTCTCATAGTCCACATACGCATGGTAAAGTGGCAGATTATACTCTTCTGCCTTCTGTACAATTTGCCACATGGTATGTGGTCTATGGTACTAAAGCCTTTTCGGTAACCGGTTTGTTCGGGAGGCTGGAATTCGTCAAGTCTGCGTGCGAGACAACTCGTAATGACTCTCGAAAACAGCACGTAGACGCGGCTCAGAAGGGAAATCGGTCTGTAGTTCTTCAAGAGATCATTGTCGCCTTTCTTGAAGAACAAGACCACCGCACTTCTGCTCCACGCCTCCGGAGTAGTGCCACCATGGAGGACGGAATTAAAGAGCTTCTGAAGGACTTCAAGTACCGGTTTTCCACCCGCTTTCAAAAGCTCCGCTGTAATTCTATCCTCGCCCGGGGACCTGCCGTTTTTAAGGTGCTGGAGAGCCATTCTAATCTCGCTCAGACTGCCGTCCGGAATATCTTCGGAATAGTGTCGGATAAGACTCGCTCTTGGATCGTTACTCATACTTGCGTGTGGCTACAATGATGACGTGTACAGCTGCTCATAGAACCTCTCAATCTCATTCAAAATCTCAGGCGTCCCGGAAAAGATGCTGCTACACTCGGTCTTCAGCTTTGACAGTTGGCTCTTTCTGGCAGACAGATCTCTGGCAAAGACTTTGGAGCCTTGGTTCCGCTCGATCGCTTCTTCAATACAGGCTGTATTGAAGTTGCGTAAGTTCCGCATGCATTTGGAGATCTGTCTGTTCAGTTGCCTGTATGCTGTCAAACTTGTTGAAGGTTGTAGCTTCATCTCCCGTCTAACAGCCATGAGATTAAGAGTGTGATCGGAGAGTTTTTGTGTTCTTCTGCGGCGGGTCTTGCAGAACTTAGCTCCGAACGCATGGACAGTTTCTACGAGCTTGTCATTCATATCGTCCACTTCATTACAGTCTTCTAGGCACTGAAAACGGTTTTGTAACTCGAGCTGAAAGATTTCGGGACTTTGGAATAGAGCACAAGGGGGACGGAGCGTTGACTTCATTAGACGAAACCTTTCCAACTTAACGTTAAGGCCAGTGTGCCTCTAACCATTCGGTGATCGCTACCAGTTTTCACCTTCGTGATAACAGAGACATCACTGAACTGTTGTCGTCTGGTCGTAATAATGAAGTCAATCTCATTTTTTGTCGAACCGTCGGGGCTCGACCAGATCCATTTCCTGTGGGGCAACTTCTGGAAAAAAGAGTTCATCATAAAGAGTCCCCCTTTCTCTATGAAGTCGGCCAGCTGCTGGCCCCTTGAGTTCCGTTGCCCTATTCCAAATTTCCCTATTTTCAGCTCACCGTTCTCTCTTGTACCTAGTTTTGCATTGCAGTCTCCCATTAACACCGCATAGTGGGTTTTGGAGGAATACATGGCTCTAGAGATATCCTCATGCATTTCCTCCACCTCCTCATTAGGATGTGCTGAGGTTGGTGCGTAAACCTGTATGACCTTCAGCGAATACCGTTTGGTGATTCTGAGTATAAGGTACGCAACCCTCGTCGACACACTCTCAATTTTTACAACGTTGTTAACGAGATACTTGTGGACGATAAAACCGACACCTCCTTGCGACAGATGGTCGTCCTCCAGGTGATACAGCAAGTTGCCGGAATCGGGGATTACCGTATCCTCCCCCTCTCTTCGGACCTCGGATAATCCTATAATATGCCAGCGTAACTTGTCTATCTCTTCTTCCAGCTCCACGATCTTCTCGTCAGTCCTCAGGGTGCGTGCGTTGTATGTTGCCAGGTCGAGTCGTCTTAGGTGGCAACCGAATCTCCACCGGAGATTCTTAGCACTCCCTGCCCCGCCGTTACCACCGTAGCCAGGAATAGCAAGGCCGCCGGGGACTGGGGGCCGTCTCTTTGTTACTTTCATCATGGGGGGGGGGGTATTTGCCATAGTTGCCACGCTTGGCGAGCGGGTTGCCAACCACAGTTTTTTATTAAAATTTTGCTGTTATTAGGAAGATGCTGCTGCCTATCTCCTGCCTATTTCCCACTGTCGCCTCTTATGACATCCACGGGAAAATATGGGGTTCATTTCTTTTAAAGCTGTTCATTTTTGTTGCGTTACGTACATACATTTCTAGACGCTTTCAACTTGCTTTTCAACTCTGTAAATTTTCTACTCCACAAAGCTTTACTTTTTAAACTAGACTACTACTCTAGATCTACTACGACTAGATCTCTAGAAATGTAATTGATCGACAATTGCATTTCTAGAGATCTAGTCGTATGAAACTAAAGAGCCGCAGCTTCACATCCAAAGAACCGCATTAGGCTCGCGAGCTGCAGGTTGCCGACCCCTGGTCTAGGGTAAAGTAGCAACAGTATAATTAACAGTCTGTGAGGTGTGAGACTAGGGACGGGCAAGGGAAAAAATATATCGAATCATTATTTTTAAACAGTATCGATATATATCGTTTGTTAAATATCGATATATCGTCATCATTTGCATGATGTAAAAATAAGGTCCAAAATTTTATATTCCTGACCGTTGGACAATGAAAAAAGACGACAACCAACCACACATGAATACTTTTGTACCTCCTTTTGTAGTTACATGTTTTGTCATTAATACAACATTTTAAAATATATCGAAATTGATACGAAATACTCTAAAATAAATATCGATATATCGCGATTTATTTCGCGACTTCGACGACATATTTTTTAATAAAAATATCGATATTTCGATATATCGATATTTTATACCTCATGTGAGACATTCCATCCTGGTCCTCGGAGGTGACAACACACTTGTGGTCTTCTTCGTTTAAAGTTGTTTGCAAGTGCCCATTGTCAGTAGTAGCCACATACCATCTGGTGGACGGTAAGTCCGCTTATGACTCAAATTTTATATAGGTACATAAACGAATGTAATACCTACGTCATATCTATAAAGTTGCCTATTTGACTATAGCTTATATCCGTAGGTCCACCTAAAGTTTAATTGTATCGTATTGTGAATTATTTACAACTAGCTGATACCCGCGACTTCGTCGGCGTTTCTTACACATATCACTGAACACGTAGTGCTTATAAAAATCGTTGTTTCTTAACACTTTAATAACTTTATATTAAATGAATATATCGCAATATTTTTTTTTAGATAAGGTGTGTCTAGTCCAAGTGTCTAAGAAATAAAACTTAGAAAACCTAATTGAAATCTATCTAGTAATTTTTCCGTGACGCGAGCACAGCTGCAAACCTCTATCATTTTATTCATATAGATTTAAAACGTATAATGGCTACTGTAAACAAAATACGTGGTGTTATTATAATCCGTCCGACTGACAAAATTACAACACATAAAACTATGTAACATAACATTTCTTTTGAAAACATTAATAATCGAGTATTGGGCCACAGCAGCCACTTACTATCAGAAGGACTGTATTGGTTTATAAAATAAGGACATACGAGTAGTCGTAAACTGTTAGAGCAGAATTTTGCATTTAATTGTATTGGTTGATTGGCACAAACATTTGTGTTTCGTAGTTTGGAGTGTCTTTAATACACGTTGCTCATTTTCACGTAAATTCTCATCGAATGTTGGATGGTGAATATGTTAATATGAGAAATAATATTTGATACACACTATGATCGAAGTTGTTTACTTTTATAAATATTGTGCTTTTCGCATGCTGTATTATTTTACCCTAATTATTCCTATAAACAAGTAAATTATTATAAGATTGGAAAGAACCCGA